CGCGAGGGTCCGCTCGCGACAATCTATACACACCACACACACACACACACACACACACACACACACACACACACTAATAGGATGCATTATCGAGCACTAGAGAGAGAGAGAGAGAGAGAGAGAGAGAGAGAGAGAGACTTCGTGCCTTAGGACGGGTGTTGAAAGAAAGAGAGACCCTGGCCGCAAACTCTACTATAACCAAAAATGAACGCGGAAATCGGGACGGCGGAACGCACCTTATCCCGCGTTTCTTTGTGTACCTTCCTCGCTGCCCTCGCAGGAGATTGGACATTGGTGCGCTTTTGCCTTTTAGGCAGCTCCCGGCTCCCGCGCGTAGACCGCGGCATAGACCATAGATAGTGCGAGGTACTTTTTACGGCTTTGTGTGAACCTTCAATGTGTGAACCTTCAAAAGCACATTTGAGCAATGAGCCTGCACTGGATTGGTCGTTTGGGGTGTCAGGGCACAGGGGGTCGATTCCGCATGGCTTGCCGCATCGCATGCGGTACGGGACCCCTCGATCCCGATCGTCTCGCCCTGCACGCCCCTCCCGTGTCGCGTGTGTACCTGTGTGCTGTGAGCTGTGTTTAGTGACAGCGATCAGCGTTAGCACACACAGTGCATCTGCATCGCTAGGGCGTTCTCCGCCTACCTCGGGTACCCAGGTGCGAGTGTGTGTGTGTGTGTGTGTGTGTGTGTGTGTGTGTGTGTGTGTGTGTGTGTGTGTGTGTGTGTGTGTGTGTGTGTGTGTGTGTGTGTGTGTGTGCGTGTGCGGAATGTTTGTCGGGAGGGGAGGGGCAGCTTGGTGGCCGAGAATTCTTTTCCAGAGGGCGGGAGCGCGCTTGTGCGCCCAGCGCGCTGTGATAGATGGTTTCCTCCCAGCGGTACTGCGATGTCCACCGGGTGCGCTCCCGCCATCTGCAAGGCGCCGCCCGGCCGCTGCGCTCACCTCCATTTCCCGCTGCGCAGAACCTGCTCCAGCTGATGCTCCACCACGGCTTCATGAGCGAGGCGGAGATGCTCGCGCAGTGCCGAGCGTGTGTGGAGGCACACGCCCAGGACGCAAAGGCTAACAAGGTGAACGTCTCTGGGTCAGACGAAGCGCAGCTCGAGAAGGCGCGCA